AAATTCCTGTGCCTTGTCAGCACTGGAGATTTGCTCAGTTTCTCCCCTAAGACACGAGTCATCAGTGTAGCTGCCAGAATACAGATTCCCACTGTACTTAAGCAAAGCCGTTTGCCTGAGTTTGCACAGCATGATTTGCCATGGTGCCGTTAGCCTTGGCTTCATGCAGGAGAAAACATCTCTGGAAGAGGCAGCTTTGAGGGGGCTCGGAATGCACAAGCCCTACCTACGAGAGCCTGCGCTGCTGCAGCTGCTCTGTGTAGGCAGCTTTGGGGATAAAAAGCAGCCGTGATGAATCTCTTCCTAAAGGCAGCCAAGGTCTTACTCCACCAGCAGCGTAAACCACGGGCTTGGCACATGAACATCAGACCAATAAAGCAAATGGGCTCCAGCACATTGTGGTCACCAAGCAGGTTCCTGCACATCAGCAAACCTATTGCAGCTGTTCACACAGTGCTGAGGTGCTGTGACCCAGCTTCAACCTCAGTGAGCAGGAACAGGCTGCATCTTGTAGTCAGGGTGAGCCCAGGGAAAGCCTGGGCAGTGAAGATAACTCTAGCGATAGGCAGGAATCTGTCACACTGCCCTATTGCCTAGGCCTTTTGGCCAGGGAAAGAAAATGCAGCATGGCAGACACAGCTTGTCTAGATCCCATCATCCCCTCCTCTCCCGGCTTCCCACTCCACTCTGAGGCAAAATTAATTCAGAAGAATTCTCCCCTGGTGCTTCTTTAGTTACTGATGTTATTATTCATACTGTGATAGCCTCCATGGGTCCTCGCCACAGCCAGAACACTCTTGTGCCAGGAGAACGCACACCACAAAGGTTTTAGAGACCATCAAGCACACACAGCAGAAACAAGAAACCTCAGTCTGCACTAGGGCCCTATCGTGGTAGGCACTACCCACACGCATCGGCTAAGGAATAATGCAGCTCTCACATGGTTTATAGCTTCATTAAAATGTGCTGGAAAGGAGCTGCCTTTGGAAGACAGCAAAAGAGAGACTAGCTCCCTGCTCAAAGCAAGAGTTGCCTGCAGGGAAGGGGCAGTAGGGCCCACAGGCAGCATTCCTCAAAGGATGGGTGGCTCCTGAATCATTAAGCAGATTCTTGCAGACAGTGTGAAATATTCGTACCTTGAGGGAAGATTAGTTTTTGACAGTCATAACACAGGCTCTTCTCTAAACATGTCCACAGAAAGAGAAGAGCAGCAGCTCTTTATTTGCTGACATTGTCGTGCTGTGTCCTTGTCTCTTGCCTTTTATTTAGATTGCAAGTTCTTTACAGCAGAGACCATCTTTCATCCTCTTTGCATGGTGTCACGCATAAGGGGATATTGCCCATGACTAATGCGGGAGGGTAGTACAAATAACATTTCATGGCTAGTGGCATAGAGAGGTTATCACTGCTACTAACTGCAAACAAAACTGCAGTTCAAGCCCTCAGGAGCTCACATGAGCTCCTGCGTATATTACTATGATGGTTTGAGGTACAACTGCAGAGCTCAAGAGCAATCCTTAAGCAGTTAAGTGCTCACACTGGGAGCAACAAGACTGACCCCCCCTGAGCCAAAGCTCCCAGAAGCTACTGACCCACATTTCAGAAGAATACTTGTCTCAAGCTCAGTACATCTTTAAAGAAGCACTGGTGGGATCAGATGAACTTCCATCCATCTCAAGCTAGCTGAGAAACCAGTTTAGCCAAATGCGACTGAGAAGAAGCTACATCCAGATCTGCCCTTGAGGAAAGCAGAACCAGGTCTGAGCTAAGGGAAAATGCAGGAATTAAAATGACTCCTTACCCCTGAAGAGGAAAAGTGCTCCAGCATCCTTACACACTGTGGAAGAGACTACATCGAAACCAGGGCAGTATTAACAGACAGCACAGAGGCCAGTGGCTGAGCAGAAAGGCACCAGGCAAGACCCAACAAAAATGAGTGAGGATGGGCCATGCATCGTGGCAGTCAAAGAGTAAGAACTGTCTGTTGTTACCAGAAGCCAGAAGCTTTTTAGGGGTCCTTAGGACAATCAGGAGAACACACATCCCCCAAAAGGTGGTTCATTGCCTGCTCAGCCTTTCAAACCCCTGGCAAGCAATATTAATTGGGCCATAATCCTTCCCTCCCTAGGCCTCACAAAACCCAATAAAGTCATTATTGCCAAAAGGGTGCACTAGGCACAGATGTGTTCAGCTATTAATGGGGTTTGCAACTATTTTCTGTCTGATAAGATAAATGATGAACACAATGAGCACGCCCTTGGGTTTGACCAGAATGCTGCTAAGAGGAAAAAAGCTTTGTGTAAAGGCAGGAGGAAGATCAGGTACCAGGGAGAACCCTAAAGCAGTGATCCTCCCCTGCAACCCTGCATAATTCCAGCCCTGACATGGATCATGGACCTGAACTCCTTCACTCAGCCATGTAGTACAAGCACCGGGGCTGTATCTTGATGATGGTTGCTACAAGCTGGATGTGGAAATCATGGCAAAGGGCTGTATACCCCATGTACTGCTCTAACTGGGAAAACACTCCAACAGACTCGCTGTGGGGTGCAGTGAAGTTCATATGCTTCCCTCAGTGCCCCTGTTCTCAGTTTTATCTGTTCTCCTGAAAACTCATTAACTTCCCCTGGCCACAGTCATGCTTGTTGCTTAATTGTTACCCGTGATGAAACCAAGCCATGAAGACCACAGCAGATTTATTATCTCTCTTGGTTAAAACTTCACTACTGCAGTTTTCAGGACTAACACAGGTGCTAACTCCTCTAGGACACCAGCCCTGGCTGCGGTAGACCTCTATGGTAATAACATCTGTTAAACTGAGCTGACCTCCTATAACACCGCTCTCTTGCAGGAACACAAAGAAACAAAACTAAAGAATCAGAAAAAAATATGCTATGTTGAAGGAGTTGACCTTGGGACTGCCCCTCACAACTCATGGGCTTTTCCAGTCCCGCTCTCCTTTTCCATATGGAGAAGCTGCCTCCACAAGGGAACCAACCAAACTGTTTGTTGATTCTCCAGGGCCTCGTTTCCCATGCAGCTCTTGCACGGCTGGAAAGGACCAGTGGAAACTGCTAATAAATTTAGCTTCTAGGGCTTCGTATTTGCCTTGTACAAGCATCAGTGCCCGCAGAAAGCACGAGGGAAAGCGCCTCTCAATGAACAAATGCAAACAAACACAGAAATCAAGAGTGGACTTTGCCCACAATTGCTCCTGTCCCCAAATCATTGCAAGTGAAATGGATTTAGAGCAAAGAACACTGTAAAACGTACGTCAGTGATGCAGTTTTTAACTCTGTGGTGGCACTAAGGAAAACTATGAGGGACCTCCATCACACATCGTGGGTGCTGGGGGTGATGCTTCTACAGAAGCCCTTGCAGCAGGACTTCACCTGAGGCTCTGGCTAGCTGCTGGAAAGGACTGAGAGCAGCCACAATTGCACTATTATTTGTACTGTCTCCTTCGGTTCAGAACATGTCATTATGAGAGGCTGTTCTGCAGGCTCTCTTCCATGGGAGTCCCTTAAGACAGGCTGCACTGCAATTACGTTTTTTCCTATTTGGCTTTCATTTAGGAAAACTGAAAATCACTGAGAACTGCTGCCAGCACTGACCTTTATTTTCACCCAAATTCACAAATCAACTAGGTGTGACACACGCTTTCATTCCCCTTTTCCCTCTTGTCTTTCTTCTACCAAATAAATAAGTTAATGAACATCAGCTCAGCGCTGAGCCTGTAAAGAAACACACATGGGAGATGAATTAGCCACAATGCTCATAGTTCAACATGATAGTGGTAGAAACATATAAATATATTCAAAGGTTTTCTTTTACAGCATTTGAAGTGCAACAAGTCATTGAACAACCAAAAATGTCAGAAACCACCATCGACAGGCTAAAGACCACCACCACCAGTATTCCAAAGCAATGACAAGTCTACAGGGAGCAACGGAACGTCATTCGAGGAGAGGTTTTGGTGTAAAAGGAAAAATAAGGCAGTGCACAAAGTGACTTGGTATTTTAAATTCTTAAATATAGTAGTTGACAATATTGTAATGAAAACAAATGGAAGAGGGAAGGGGCTGGGAAGAGGAGGCTGGGAGAGGGGAAACAACCCACAAGGCCAGCTGGTCCCTTGTGAAAATATCGACTGAATTGCAGCATTTTGGAATCACTGCTAACACTGTAAACAAAAAAGGTAACTCCTTAAAAAAGGTGACTGTGTGCATAATCCAGGGCTTTCCATAACTCCCTCATTAGCTGACGGATTCTTGAATAAGCATTCCTTCTCTCCCTCCCCCTTTTTTCAGTGAACCAAGTAAAACTATTTGGCCAGCCACCAAGCTGTACAGAGGACTGGCGCTCATCCCCAGGCCTGTGCGTAGGTCACTACTTCAGCCAGGGATGTGATTTTTGGGACTGAAGTATGCTACAGCACAGGAGTGATTTTATCGCAATAAACACCTTGTTTTCAGGTGGGGATAGGTCTGGAGGCACAATGCCTGAGGAGAAGACTGTGTTGCAGCACAACAGTTGAAGCAGTCGGTGTGATGGGTCCCACTGATTCAAGACAGCAGGGAGCTTGTGTGAGCGACAGCAAGTCGGGCTTGCCAGAGGGACACAGAGCTCACCAGAAAGTGCTCATCTTGGCTGAAATGGAGAGCTGGTTCCCACTCGCCCCTACCCTTCCCACCCCGAGTACTTTAAATGCAGTAATAAAGAGCATCTGCCTTCATGGGAATAACCACGTGAGCGTCCTTGGCCTGCTGATGCGGCAGAACAGTGCAGCAACAAGCAGCTGTACTGACACGCACGTGAAGCTGACCTCACGCTGGCTGCACAGCCAAAAGCCAGTTCTCCAAATTCAACGCATCTGAGGAATCGGTGAGATTCAGTTTTGTGTAACAGGGACAAAAAAAGGCATTTGAGAAGACGTGGTTTGTGCCAGTTTCATACAGACATGTTGCTGGTTTCCACACCACCTCTTAAACCCACACGCGCTCAGTAAGGAGACATTTATTCTATTACTTCTGTTTTCAGATTTTTGGTACAAAGTTTATTTTCAGCAGTTCCCACATGATCCTTTTCTTCTCCCAGCGTCTTCCAGGATTTTCCTCTCTCTGATTTATTCTCTTTATCTGTTGAAGCAAAAGCAGTAATTGCTACAGAAAGCAATAATGGAAATACTACAAATATCTTACAGCAGCATCCATCATCTCTTTGCCTCAAAAAACTAACAAAAATAAATCCAAAGGCAAGATCCGTAGTGCCACCAAGGCTTACGGGGGTAACATCCAGAAGTATGCTGTGTTCCCATACAGGAGTTGTACAAGTCCAGCACAACTTCCCAAGTTTGTGCAGAGCCTGATAAATAAGACACAGAAAATATCAGTTACGTTATATACTGTTTCTAAGAACTTTTACTCTGTAAAATGTTTGGTCACTCAAAGCTATAAGCTTAATCACATATCAAAGAACACAGGCAGTAAAGCCCATCTTACTAGAACATATAGTATTAGGCCAAACAAAATATAAGAGGACAAAATCTAGTGGTCACTGAAGCCTCTTCAAAAAAGGTCTAAACCAGACTGTTTCCATCGTGTATCAGAATAAAAACGTACTGTATTAAAATCTGATTTTTTGTGTGTTTTTTACAAGCTGTCTTTTAATCAGTCTTCTATTTACAGTGCAGAACTTCTGCCAACTGCAGTAGTTTAACTTTGGCACAACACAAAGTTCCAATCCTTTTGAGTATTCAAGTCCTGTGTGTGTCCAAAAATGTTCTTGGTTTCACGAAAGATTAGGCCCATTCACAGTTAACCAGTTCTCTTGAACTCTTTCAAGAATTGCTTCCCCTTCACCACGCTGGGCAGCTACAAAGGAAAGACACTGTAAGCTATTGCATCATTCAAAAGAAACTCTTCATTCTCAACACTGACAGTATTGTTGCTTCCTTTAACATCACAGACACCAGACAGATCACACAGACGGCTACACTCCGGACACCTTCTAAAAGCCTTGCTGGTCGTTAGTGAATCGTCTTCCTCATACTTCAAATACGTAACAATGCATTGACTTGATTTCATTTCACATGTCAAACAGGACATTTAAATATATTGCAATATACTATAGAAAGTTGCAAAGCGCCATCATTTCTGTAAACGAGACCGACACCTGTAACTCTCCTGTGCACATGAAGAGCAGTACCCAGTGCTACGTTTTCTATACAATATAAAGCCTTCCCGGGTAGGGCGACTCATTTTAGTGCATTTCTGTACAGACTGTAAGCACACATGCAGAGACCCAACTATGCAAAACTGGGAACACTTCTGTGAGCTGGAACTGGAGGTGGGGGGAACATTTCAAAATCATAATGGAGCTCTTGTAGTTGATCATTTCGTATCACAGATGAAGAATCTCCCATCATTCCAGCAGATTCCTTAGGGAAAGTTTTGTGATAGGCATCTAGTACTGTATAAGCATAAGAAAATATTTTCATCAACTGTGACACAAGTATTATGTGTCTTAACACATTCCAAGTTATGCAGAGTCCAATGTTTATATAGTAACCTTATCTCCATAATACTTGAGAAACCCCAAATCATTTTTATGCCAAGTATTATAACCAAGGACCAGTTACTTTATCCACCACCTTAGTGCTACCTGCTCTAGAAAAAAAGAAAAAAGCAAAGGCAAATAAAGCAAACCAAAAGGCCTCACACTTCCCAACGAGCGCCAAGTTGGAAGCAGAGGTAAGTACCATTGCAAACCACACCACCAAAGTCAGTGCTGCGATCCAGCCAGGTGAAGATCCATCTCACCCAGTTTCAGATGTCTCTAGTGTCACTGCCCTTAAGCCACATGTCACACGCACTCAGTGGGGTGAGGGTGCAGACACGTGGGGTGGGCAGCCCTGCATTCGCTGGGTATGCTGACAAGGGGTGTCTTGCTCAAATGCAGACATCAGTATGTGATCAGACAAATCCTACCTTAACTCTGGAGAAGTGCTACAGGATCCTCAGTTACCACTCTACATCTTACGGTGTTGTCTAAGTGGGTTTTGCAATAACTGGAAAAGTGCAGATGCTCTTCACTACAGAAGGAGAAAAACCCCCCGAGCGCTCCAACCATTAACCCTGAAAACACTGATTATAACCCACCTGTGCTTTGGAACATCCCTTCTTTAAATGTGAGAAAGCTGCACAGAAATCTGAGCTCTGGAGTGGGTGTAAGAAGCTGCTGAGGGGATTTTTCACTTTCTGTTGCAACCTTCATTTTAAAATCTTTTCCTATGTAATTTTAACACATCAGCAAACCTCAAGTAGCTTGAGTGGTAAGCTTGTGTCAAGCTCCCTGGTAAATCTACTTATCCTAGGATATCACAAGCTTGATACAGGTGTAGCCCAGCACTGTTCAGTGCAGGGAACCAAGCCCTCTATTAGCCCTTCTCACCTTTAATTTACACACTTATCCCAAGTATTATGGCCAACTCTCAACAGTTTTACTGCTTTCTGATCATTGACACTATCTTTCCATTACTACTGAACACAGGCAAAATTATTTTCCAAGAAAAATAAATTAAAGAAAGTAGCTATATTTCATTGCACTCCACTTCTGTGCATTCAGGTTAGGGCAGTGATATTTAATATTACAGAAGCTTAAACATTATCTTCTCTCCTTGGGAGATATGAATATAGACAGATACGGGACTCCGGTGCAGGACGCAAATCAACACTATCCTATTTACAGAAGCAAATACTGACATCCAGCCTGAATACACAGTACTCCATTAAGTGCAAAGGGAAAATGCTCCCCACCTTTAAGTATAGCTTGGTTACTCAGCAGCCAGAGACAACATGTCAGAGTTAACTGCTGTGTTCTCGTTTCAGAAGGAAACGGAGGAGGAAGAGGAGAGTGAATGCATCTTTGGGCTTTTTGGCCTATGGGGGCTGTGTAAGGCCATGAATCACTTTGTCTGGGCTCCAGAAATGCTTTCTCTGCTCTGCAGAGGACAAGGGAATGCATTCGCCTGCCTCACGAGTTCCTTGGTGAGCAGGAAGAAAATGGGCTTTTGCCCAAAGTCAGCAATCAGATGCAGGCATTGCATGAGTTTCCTTCCCAATAATCAAAGTTACAGCCAGATCCCACATCGCATATAATGTCATGAAAAAGCCGGTTTTAAAATGGTCCTGGGCGAGGTTAAAAAAGGGAATGGCCTCATTTACTAGAGTGTATTAGAGATAATCCACTAAATTCTAATCATGAGGTGTTAGGTATCTTTCCTCTGCATTCAAAACAAAGCAGAGATTTCCGTGTGCTCAAAATGAGTGAGTGCAATATTTTACTTGTTCTGTCAGGAGAGCAAGAGAAAAACTTGCTTTGCTTATCAGCTTCTAGGTAAGTAAATTCTGCAGGGCAAGCAAAAGTCAGAGCCTTCAAGTTTGGCATTTTCCCTTCTTTCCTCTTCTTATAAGCCAGTTAGTTCATTCAAACCTCCAGGGAGGGATAGGTCTGACCTTCTTTCTACAACAAACACTAACCTTGGAGTCATTCAGAGGTTGATACTGGGAAGAGAGCACTATTTAAGATGGAACCGTGCTCTTTCATTGTGCTCAGAAGCAAGAGCAAAACATGCCCTGAAGCAGCACAATACACTGAAGGTGGGATGCCTCACCTCGTTTAACACTGCTTGCCTCCTTTTAACCCTCCCTCTCCATTCTGGCACAGGATCACCTTTATTCTCCCTTTAGCTGAATTCCAGAGACATCAGTTAACTAGCATCATCAGATCAGGTACTTCTGGCAGAAACAGCAGATGAAGAGGAAAGGTCTACCTTAGCTCTAAAGGAAGTGCTGCTCACAACTGAGTTCTGAAACTGCTCCTAAGGAAGACTGAGAAGCCAGCTGCCTAGAGGTGAGATCTGAACAAGATCGGAGTTTCTTTATATCAGTGTCAATGACAGTCACTGAAACCTGGCTCATAACCAGCCCAAACCCAAGAGGTGAAGCTGCACAGAAATAGAGAAGCCACAGCACAGGCTCATCGATACACAGTTCTTCACCCCACAGGGAAATCAACAAAACCCTGCATGGACACCCACCCCAGGGTAGATGGACTTTCTTGACCCTTACGTCCCCACTGTCAACACAGCTCAGTCCAAGTGACTTCCAAGCATCTTGCTTGGAAGTGTGTGTAAGCTACAAGAGGGAGCCATGCTGCAGAGGTGCACTGCCAGTGAGCACTGAGATGCTCACATTCATCACCCACTGAGACACTTGCTGATGTGCTTAAGTTGAGGAAGTTTCCTGTGTGTAACTGGGAGGATGAGAAGGTGCCTTATCCTACACCCAGGTGATTTCTGTTTCTCTTGGGTGACTACTCAGTGTGCCTTGAGTACCTAGGTAAGGAGCACAGCAGCCTAAGGTTGGCTACACCACTGCTACCAGAAGCTTTGAGTTCCCACCACGCACAACTACAAGTCCCAGATAAAATACACCAGCATGCTGAGTTTTCCAATACTTCTCCTGTCAGTCCTCATACAAGAGGCCTCCAGAAGGAATTTCACTCCCTCCCAGTATGCAGTGCAAATACACACATGCTGTAAACAAAATAAACTGGTAATCAATAGACTCTGTTTGCTCAAACAGAAATAACAGACAAAAAGTGGAAGCAAGGACAGGCGGCCTGGGAAGAGTACAGGGATGTTGTCTGGGAAGCTAGGGACCAGGTTAGGAAAGCTAAGGCCCAGTTGAATTAAACTTGGCTAGGGATGTTAAGGATAACAGGAAGGGATTCTACAGGTACATAGCAAATAAAAAACAGACTAGGGAGAACATAGCCCCCCTCAGGAAGCTCTGAGGGGGCTACACAGGATTTGGAGAAGGCTGAGGTTCTGAATGACTTCTTTGCCTTGGTCTTTACTGGCAAATGCTCTGACCACACCACCCAAGTCTTGGAAGGGACTGTGAGAATGAAGACCTTGCGCCCACTGTAGGAGAGGAACTGGTTCGAGACCATCTTAAAAATCTGAACGTGCACAAGTCCGTGGGTCCTGATGAGATCCATCCACGGGTCCTGAAGGAGCTGGCAAATGAAGTTGTGAAGCTGCTGGCCATCATATTTGAGAAATCCTGGCAGCGAGGTGAAGTTCCCAATGACTGGAAAAAGGGAAATATAACCCCCATTTTCAAGAAGGGGAAAATGGATGACCTGGAGAATTACAGACCAGTCAGTGTCACCTCTGTGCCTGGCAAAATCTTGGAGCAGATTCTCCCGGAAGGCATGCTAAGGCACATGAAAAACAACAAGGTGCTTGGTGACAGCCAGCATGGCTTCACTAAGGGGAAATCCTGCCTGACCAATTTGGTGGCCTTCTATGATGGGGCTACAGAACTGATGGACAGAGGTAGAGCAGTTGATGTCATCTACCTGGACTTGTGCAAAGCGTTCGACACTGTCCCACACAACTTCCTTGTCTCTGAATTGGAGAGACATCAATTTGATGGATGGACCACTCGGTGGATAAAGAACTGGCTGGATGGCTGCACACAAAGAGCTGTGGTCAATGGCTCAATGTCCGGCTGGAGACCAGTAACGAGTGGTGTCCCTCAGGGATTGGTGTTGGGACCGGTCTTGTTCAACATCTTTGTTGCTGACATGGACAGTGGGATTGAGTGCGCCCTCAGCAAGTTTGCCGATGACACCAAGCTGTGTGGTTCGGTTGATACGCTGGAGGGAAGGAATGCCATCCAGAGGGACCTCGACACACTTGTGAGGTGGGCTGATGCCAACCTCATGAAGTTTAACCATGCCAAGTGCAAGGTCCTACACCTGGGTCGGAGCAATCCCAGGCACAGCTACAGGTTGGGCAGAGAAGAGATTCAGAGCAGCCCTGAGAAGGACTTGGGGGTATTGGTTGATGAGAAAATGAACATGAGCCGGCTGCAGTATGCGCTTGCAGCCCAGAAAGCCAACCGTATCCTGGGCTGCATCAAAAGGATCGTGACCAGCAGGTTGAAGGAGGTGATCCTGCCCCTCTATTCTGCTCTTGTGAGACCTCACCTGGAGTATTGTGTGCAGTTCTGGTGTCCTCAACATAAAAAGGACATGGAACTGTTGGAACAAGTCCAGAGGAGGGCCATGAGGATGATCAGGGGACTGGAGCACCTCCCGTATGAAGACGAGCTGAGGAAGCTGGGGCTGTTCAGCCTGGAGAAGGCTGCGTGGAGACCTCATAGCAGCCTTCCAGTATCTGAAGGGGGGCTATAGGGATGCTGGGGAGGGACTCTTCATTAGGGACTGTAGTGATAGGACAAGGGGTAATGGGTTAAAACTTAAAACGGGAAGTTTAGACTGGATATAAGGAGGAAGTGCTTTCCTGTTAGGGTGGTGAGGCACTGGAATAGGTTCCCCAGGGAAGCTGTGAATGCTCCATCCCTGGCAGTGTTCAAGGCCAGGTTGGACAGAGCCTTGGGTGACATGGTTTAGTGTGAGGTGTCCCTGCCCATGGCAGGGGGGTTGGAACTTGGTGATCTTAAGGTCCTTTCCAACCCTAACTATTCTATGATTCTATGATTATGAGCAATAAGAAATGCATGCAAATACTGCCTTCAGGGTGAGCCCACCCAGATTTTTCTCATCCTTGGCACAACTGAAAGGCTTAGTATGTGCATGTAGCCCAAAGGAAACGTGGGTAACTCTGCATCTCCCATTAGCCAACCCACAGCACATGGTTACATTTCAATTTTACTTTGTGCAAAGAAACAATGTTCCTCAGTGGGCTGTAAATACCATTAGAACCAGTGGAATACATGGAACTGTAATACTTACAACTGAGAATCTGGCCCGGTATACATCAGCCACCATCTCTGACTGTTCCACTGACAGAATATGTCCAATCCAACTATATTTAGTCTGATAAACAATGTATTTCCTCTTCCTGTGTTTTCCAGACCAGATGTGCTAAGGCCTGCCATTGTAGCTGAGTGTTATTTAACAGAACACTGCCAAGATGGAAGATTTCCCAGTTTGATCGTATAATTAAGTTGGATCCTTATCTTTTCCCATCTTGTAAAGAAGGTCAGATTTAATGTAACCTAAATGCAGTTCTCTGCTAACAAAAAAATGAGCTCTTAATTTAGACAGGTTGCTTGGGTGAGGGTTTTCTGTTTGTTTTTTTATGAAGAATATTAATTCTGGGTCAATCTTATGCATTCAGGCAACTGCAGGCTTTGCTCGCTAGAGGCATATTCCCAAGGATTTTAAGGATTTGTTCTAATATTTTTGGAAACTTAAAAAGAGCATCTCCTTCCCTACTAGCTTTGCCCTTTCCAACTCAGCAAGCACCGTATTCCCAGTGGAGAATCTTTCTTCTATCTGCTGGCATCTACAACAGCCTCATCCATACCATTACCAGCCAAACAAGAATACCTCCCAACCACACGTAACAGCCAAAGCTGAAAAGGCCAGATCCTGATCTCTCCACCACCACCTCACCTCCAGAGCCATAAACACTCCAGTGAAATAAACTGACAACACAGTTTTGCTTTCCCCCCACCCACAAGTTAATCTGAGGGCTTCTGAGCTATCTCTCCCTTAGCACCATGGCTCCTTTGTGCCTCAACAATTTCAGTCATGGAAGCCAGGGATTAGTTTCACATAAAATTCACCTCTCACACCAACAGCCGTGGCCCTTTTCTTTCCAGCACTCTCTAAAGCTCACCCTGGTAAAATGGCTTTCATACAGAACATCCTCCTGCAACTCTAGCAGCCTGTTCAATCTGGGAGCAGAAAGGCAGCTAAAGCAACCACAAAGGAAGGCGAATCCAGGAGGTTAACAGTATTCTTTGTTGGACGTTATTCCCTTTGTTGCTTTGACCTGGGTTTCACCCACATTCACGTAGGAAAACAAGATCTACCACGGACTCCTCTGCTTCAGAAAATCATGACTAAAATGACTTTCTTGGTCCTTTGACCGTTACCCCAGGAAGAAAGAAGGAATAATCCTAGAATCGGTTCCTGGAGATGTGGAATCATTGGGACACATTTTCCCAATGCTAACCTCTCATAGGTCATCACATGCAGAAGCCTACAGAGAAGATGCTGACAGGTGTGCAAAAGGACATTGCAAGCATCCTTTCCATTAGTGCAGTGTAAAAGCAGACAATGCTGGTGACAACAGCACCAATTCATCATCTTTTGACATCTAAATAGAAAGCAACTTACCCCTAAAAAATGCAGACTGACAGTAGCAAGAACACAACCTACTCTTCCTCAATGCACCAGTTCTATGGAATGCCATCTATCTGCCTAAACTAACTTCTGTGAATTTGGCCTGGTTTTAAGTTGCTAATTCAAAATCTACGACAACTTCAACATCTTGAGACAAAATGGCCTTTCTCCCCCTGTTTTAAAGACGCTTATTCAGGATGTGGATGTTTCACATCAGATTAAACTACTTCTGCAGTTCAGTTCAGGCAGATCAAACCTCCCGCAGAAGTTAAGTGCGTTCACCCAGCAGCCCTAAGAACAACCAGCATAGCGGCGAGCTCAATCCATCAGGATGAATTTAAGTTAAACTTGCACACACGTCATTCAGCTGGGCTATCACTGCGGAACAATTAAACACTGGTGTGTTTATCATTCCTAAGCATCTAAAAGCCATATAACTTCATTTTGTCTGAGAATTAAACATCATGTCATGGCCACAACTTACATTGAAAACCTTTCTTAAGAGCACTCAAAGACACTCTGCATCTCTGTATCTGTGTATTCTTACAACCCCCATAAGCAACTCTGAATGCCTTTTAGGCACTTTCCACCTCACATTTACCTTCAAATTCGTGTAAGATTTCAAGAATTACTTTTTTTTTAGCTAGAAATACACATACTTTTCTTACCATTTCCAACAAATGAAAGAATGCACAAGCTAAAAATGAATGGTACTATCAACTGCATCAAGTCTGTCAGGCATTTAAATTAAACTGGTGTAGGATACACTGATTAAATGTAACAAAAAGCATCTTCTAGCATTAGACTCATTCAGTTAGCTCATAATTATCAACAAGTAACATTTCAGCACAAGTTCTGTAAACCCAAAACACTCTGAAGATACACAAAAGGTGCCAAGATCACCTCATTTTCTTAAACCAAGCCATCCTCACCCCTAGGTTCATTGATTCCTTTGTCACACTTTTCCCCTTCTCTTTTGTTTTGAACTCTTTCCTTAAGAAATAAACCCAGGCCTTGAAACCTTTCAGGTGAAGCGATGTTTGCAAAAAAGCCATCTTAGGTTTTCGTATGTTCCTCCTTTGTGAGCAATGTTCTCCTACAGCAACAAAAAAATGAGTCTGTGGTGGTTTTGGAATTAAACAACATAAGGCAATTAAATATTGAGAAGCAGTCAGGTGAATGATGAACATGAACCTTCCCATCAGTAATGTGGAAGAGGAGGAGCTGAACTGGATCCGATTTGTAATCCCATGTCCTAGGCTAGGCCTGAGGATGTCCACCTCTTGTAGTAAGGAAGCAAATAGTTGTTGCCTGCTTGCAGGTTGCATCTTGCAGGTTGCATCTTGCTCAGGTTCTTTTAGGTGGAAGAAAGATGCTAAGCAGGTGCTTGCTAAACTGAAGGCCATGAAGAAATCATCTGGCTCTTCACCATAACATCAAACCCATTAATAGGCTTTTGGCCCCAAATCCCAAACTGCACATCAATCTGACTTTGAAAGTTTACGCTTAACATGTCGGGGGGGCTCCCAAGTATCACTATCATCGGTTTCTTCCTCATCTTCCTGCTCTTCCAACATTTCATCTTCCTCCTCATTCTCATCAAACAGCTCTATTCCAAGTTCTAATCTTCTCTGCCTTTCTGCAAACCACTCTCTGACCTGCTCATATCCCATGTGAGATTTGGCTACCAGTTCATCAAGGTCTTGCTCATTAAGGAATTTGTGCTTCATGTAGTAGTCCTTCAGGATTGCTGTTCCAGTTTTGAACTTTATGACAGACACACCTCTGTCCCAGCAATTTAACCTCTTGCTTCCCCGAGGCCTCCCCCGAGGCCTGCCTCTCCCCCTCCCTTTTGGCCTTCCTCTCCCTCTCTTCCTTGCAAAGCCTTGGCCATTCAGACTGTTTGCATTGGCGCTCTGGTAATAATAATACCATTTCAATCCACCATTTTTCCAGGCGTAGCGAGTGTCTCCAAACCAGCTCACAATTTCTGATCTTGGGAGTCCAGTTTCTTCTGCCAGCTTGTTGTATTCCTGTGGAGACGGCCACTGAGTGCGGACAAAGGAACTTTTGAGCATGTGCAATTGCTCTGGTGATTTTTTGCCTATTTTGCTTGAAGTGGAACACCCTGATTTCGCTCCTGCTGGTCCATCTCCCACAGATGTTTCTCCAGCCTCTTCTTTTGAGCTGCCAGCATTGCTCTCATTCAAGTCAGCTCCTTCTTCCTTCAAGACCTTTGATTTCCTTTTCTCTATAAACCAGGCATCAATCTCTCGCCTGGTGAGTTTGGTTTGGGCTCTTAACCTATTCATCTCCTCCTCGGTAAGGATGGGGTTATTAAGAAAACTTGCTTGGAGGACTTGCAGCTGCTCAGCAGTCTTCTCTTTGAATTTCTGTGGGGTGAAATCAGGGAAAGCACTCCAGGATGACTTGTTTTGTGAAGTGGCTCCCGTTGGGGACTCGTTCATTTCATCGCTCGAATCAATAACAATGGTGGCACATGAATCACTGTTGAGATGAATCCCATGATTATTCTTGGAATTTCTCTGATTGTAGCGTGTATCACTGAACCACTTTTTGATCTCTCCTTTAGTCAGGCCCGTTATTTTCATAAGCCGAACGATTTCTGAATCTTGAGGAAACTGATTTTTAAGGTAGCTGACTTTCAGTTCTGCCAGCTGCTCCTTAGTTTTCTTTGCTCGGATGCCAAAGGAGTCAGGATTCATCAGGGCAGATTCATTTTTGATAGGCTGAGGGGCTGGAACAGCAGCTACTTGTTTGGTTTCTGCAATAGGCTGAGCAGTGTGAATCTGACTCTTCTGTAACTGTGTTTGATTTGGGACTCCCGCTACAGTCAAAGCTATTGGGGCTGTTACTGGTAACGTGTTTGCACCTGCAACTTGAGTGAGAACTAGTCCTGGCTGACCAACTATTTGGCATGTCTGTAAAATTGAAGGTAAACCATTGCTAGCAGTGGAAATGTGTGCTGGAATAACAGTAATTGTCTGTGGCACAGTATGCACTGTGCCATTAAATTGTTTCCTCCTTGCTTCCTCCACTTCCTCTGGCGTCCAGCTCACACCATGCTTCAGACGCTGGGCAGAAAACCATATTTTAATCTGTTCCTCTGTGTACTTAGCTTGAGTGGAAAGAACAGTGATTTCCGACATGGTTGGATATGGGAATTTGTTGTAGGTGTTAAGCAAAAGAGGATTGTTATCCAAAGCAGTATTATAGGCTGGAATGCTATTTACAGGTATTAGGACTTTTGGAATCAGGTTTGAGTTCTGTGGAGCTGTGACAGCTGTTATGACCTGTGCCACCCCAGGCTGAAGCACTGGTGCTGGAGTCACCACCGCACTGGCCACATCTACTGCACTGCCAACAACCGAATGGCTCGCTTTTGACTCAGAAACTGCCGGCGGTGGGTTTTCTACTACTTCTTCAGAGTTTGGCTCATTTTCAGTTCCCTTTTCTTCACCAGGAATGTCATCAGCTACATTGTGGAAAACAGCAATACGTTTAGTCTCTGTTTTGTTTTTCATCATTTTCATAATAGGAGTTTTGCTAATTGAGATCCCCGATGAGGGGACCTCAGCAGAGTCAGCCTGGTCCGCGTTTTCTTCCCTAACAAAACTCCCATCGAAAGTGAGATCATTTACTGTTTGTTCAAAGATTGTCTGATTATTACGTTTCACCATGGTCAATTTAAAATTCTCCTCTCCAGGGTGGTACTTTAAATTATGTTCCGAGAGAGCGTCGTATCTTTTGGTAAGGAAATTGCATTCTACACAAACGTAGGATGAATTTAATACTACGTTGGGATGTTCTGAATCCACATGAAAAGTAAACATATTGAGATCTGGAGTCTGAAAAGTACAGTATTTACACTCATAACCACCTTCGACTTTACTTGTATTTTTCTGATTGTCTGAATCCACACACTCATGGGCATCCTCATCACTCGTTACGCTCTCTGCTGTCGGGTTATCTGCTGGCGTGAGCACAGGTGGTCCTTCCTCCAAGTCTGATACCATTTCTAGATCCGGATCCTGCTCGTTGGCTAAGACCATGCACGGTGTTGTTGATTTCCTTTTACTTGCCATGCCTGTTATGTGAAAATGATGCTGACTGGTCAGATACGGACTTAGCTTCAAGCTCTTCCTGATTAGTAATAATGGCTTTCGGTCTTCAAGTCAGTTCTTGTAAAGTCTCAACATTTATCCCATTAGCAGCTTTCCTTTTGTAGTGCAATCAGATTAAAAATTGATAGTTGAGGATGAGATGTTGAGACACACTGTTTTAAAGTCCACATCCACCACCTGCAGCAAAGAAGAGACAGTGGAATTAGTTCAATTTAAAAAGTAGCTTCTATTCTGCTACATCTTACGGCTTAAGAGAATTCAGTCCTTTGGGTTCAGCCCACCACTGTTCATCCCCTGAAACCCAGCAGACCCATTCCAAGAAGATACACTCAAAGCTAAATTAAGAAAGGCAAAATCCAATCCACTTAATCACAGCCTGAAACTCGTTTTAATTCACGTCAATGCAGTGAAAGGCAGAAAATGCAGAATGGTGTAAACCAGGTGATTTTCTGACCATTTCCCTTTCTTCAGAAGCCCTTTTTTTTTGGCACAGTGCTGAGGTCAGTTGTCCTGTGTGATTTCTGCAGTCTCGGCTGCAAATTGCTTTGCCTAAGTTACGACAGCTTCTCTCCACTGCTTTGTGAGCTCAAGTCCTTCCTATAACAAACTCAACCCCAGTATGACACCTCCGCTACTAAGTCTGTCATGTCTTCCATGTCAGAGGCTGGGAAGGGTCCTAGGAAAGGCAGGTTTAGAGTGTTCTTCTATTGCCTTATACACACAAGGATGATCATATGCAGGGCCTTTCTCCCAAGTCTGGAAACAGGCAAAACAATGTCTTTTTAAGGCACTCTGACAGACAGAGGATGACTATCCTTTCTTCCTAGCTCCCCAAATGTCATTCTCCAATTGAAGACCAATCCCAAGCCAATCAAATCTGATTGCTAGCACATAGCAATTAACTAAAATCTGTTTTCATGCTTCTATGCATTAACAAGGACATGACTGATTGTGTGAACTCTGCCAGAGAGAAAAAGCATTAAAGAGGGCTATAACAAGCAGGAGTCACACAAATTTATGTAAATAATTTTAGGAAAACTGAAGTACCACCAAACAGAGCTGAGGCCTGCGGAAATTCAGAGAATAAATGTAGTCTCAAAATAGCATGGTCTGGAGTGAATTTTATCCCACAGGGACCACAACTCGTCTGCTGGAATTGATGCATAAAATTCTGCAGAGGGTTATAAACTCTAATCATCTTCCTCTCAGAATAAAATCAGACACTGATTTCTCATACCAGAAATCCCATTGGTACATGCATTTTTAGACAGTGGAACATCAGCAACTTGCCAAAGTGAGGGCACTCTCAAGTACAAGGGGAACACTCAGCAACTGATTCAGAAGGTTTAGAAAGGGAACAGCATGTAAAAGGTTAAAAACAGAAGACAAGCTTTGTTTACGACTTAAAGGAAAAAGAACAGTGTAAAAGGAAGAAAGGCAGTTAGGAGGAATGGGAAGAAGGGGGAGAAAACCAACTTACTTTTCACTGTACAGCCTTCTCTGAGTATGGGATAGGAAGAAAAATAACTAATTCTTAGCTACACATTTTTTCCTCAGGCTAAAGACAGAAGTGCTCCTTTACAGCTGTCACCCAGTGCTGCTCCATAAGCTGTTTTGGAAACACTGTGCCTCACCTCACTTTGTTGTAAGAATCCTCCCCAGATGTTCTCAACAGCCACGCTCTGCACTACTACTGTGCCTACATCCAAAGCACACAGCGCGACAGGACAGGCTTCTTATGCCAAGGATACGGTTACATGGCATTGAGGACACTGACAATGCTCAATAAATCTTGGGCAATCATCATTCCAGGATGACAATTATTTAATAGCACCGACATTGAAAGATACCCTTTTTGCACAAGTTAATGCTGGCAGTCTGTAAAACCATGCAGAAGATATTTAACACATACACAAACTATGTATTGCAGGCCATCTCATTTACCTTTGCAGTGAGAGAACCATGAAGCAAAGCTAAACGGATCCATCTGTCTCAGCATCCTGAGGGATGAGAGGTAGGGCATTATTAACTGTGCTGCTTCTCCGTGGGGCTGGAGGGCTCTTGACAAAAGACGGCCATCTGCCAAGACTCAACGTTGGGCAATGCTCCTGGGGCAGAGCTGGGTGGTATTACCTAATCCTTCTGGATCTTGAGTAAAATCTCAGAAATGCCAGAAATGCCCATTTTCAAAAGCTACTTAACAGCGAGTTTTGCTGACTGAAGTTGCAGTGTGAGAAGCGACTGTGGTACTCGGCAGTGCCTCAGCCCTAGCACAGCATGTAGTAGGATCTATACGCAGGGCAGTCTGTGTGAGCTTAGGGGCTTGCTGAGGTTCCCAGTCTGGGATGGCAGAGAGCAGAAGTGAAAGCAACGTTTGACCTGACCTGCAGTGCTGAAGCATGCTCGAGATATGGAATAAAATGGGAAGCCAGTCCAACAAATCAGTGTTTTTCTCCAGTCCCTTCATTTACCCAATAGCATTCACTCTGCCTGCAAGCCTACGGTTCCACATGCCATTGCATCACCTGCAGCCTTCTAGTTCAATCTCTGTATCACATTTCTGTTTGCTGTGGCTCAGTTTCACTCATGGCCAACTATCCTGTTCCTCCACTGTTCACCTACACAGCAACATGTTTCTTTGGTGCAAGCAGGTCTCAGAAAAAGAAAGCTGCATCTATGGTCTTTAAACTATACTCAGTAGTAGTTGAGACCCCACCTAGAGTACTGCATCCAGCTCTGGGGCCCTCAGTCCAGGAAAGGCATGGACCTGTTGGAGAGGGTCCAGAGAAGGGCCACAAAAATGATCAGTGGGATGGAACACCTCTCCTATGAGGAGTTGGGGTTGGTCAGCCTGGAGAAGGTAAGGCTCTGAGGAGACCTTACTGAGGCCTTTCAGTTCTTAAAACAGGCCTATAAGAAAGACAGAGAGAGACTTTTTAGCAAGGTCTGTTGCAACAGGATGAGGGGTGATGGTCTGAAACTAAAGAGGGGAGATTCAGGGTGGACGTGAGGAAGAAATTCTTTACAGCGAGGGTGGTAAAACACTGGCACAGGTTGTCCAGAGACGTGGTGGATGCACCATCCCTGGAGGCATTCAAGGCCAGGCTGGACATGGTTTTGAGCAACCTGATCTAGCTGAAGATTTCCCTGCTCATTGCAGGAGGGTTGGAACTAGACGATCCTAAGTTCCTTTCCAACCCAAACCATTCTGCGAGTCTATGATTTCAAACTCCTGTTTAATTCAAGCCTATGAAGGAGCTATGACAGCATTCATTAAAATCCCAACAAAGCAGGATGCTTACAACCCTTCACAGCCTTCTTTCTTCTGCAGACTTTACAGAAAGCTCCATTCCCTTCTCCTTGGTGTTAATGGGTTCATTCAATCTGTAGCACCCTCCCTGACACATTCTCTCAGTTTACCAGGGCATTATGAAAAGTACTCACACTTGAGTAATTTATCAAACCAAGTATGCATCATCAAGTATGCACTTCAGTTCCTCTACATCACTTCTCCAGCACTGCTTACAGGAATGACCATGTGAGACCTTGCTGTGTATCTTGACTTTAGTGAGGTTTGCAACATCCTGCTCCAGCAGGCCAATTACTCCAGCAGAAGTGGAATCAGACTGGCTTCACATAGTCTGGTTTTGACAAATCCACCCATTCCAGAACCTTGTTACAATTCTCTAGGCTCTACAGACTGCTTTTTTAGCAGATTTTTCCAGTATGGTTCTGGGAATGAAGATCCCATTAACCAGCCTGTGTTAGTTCAGTTTTTCTCCTCTGCTCATGCCTCTCATTTAACCAGACTCTGTTTGCCTGTATCAAGTCTGCTGAGACCTCCCTGCATCCTCCATGAATTCCTGAAGATCATCACTAATGGTTCAGAGATTGCTTTGGCTTGTCCCTTACATACTTTAGGGTCAAATGCATGACTTAATATTGTTTAAGATTTTCTATTTTTAGCAGCACCGCATTTTTATCCCTCCCTGTTAATACTGACATTATAGTGTGCAATTTGGTTTGTAATTAAATACGCCAAGTGTTTGCTTTATGTCAAAAGCAGCGTTTTTCAATGAAAGAATCTGAAGAGAACCTTTCAGTTAGCTGCACTCTTAATCCCTCAAGACATTCATCCCTGTGATCCCCTTCGGTCATTTTACCTCAGATTTTCTTACAACTGACATTCCCAGAAAAAACAGCCCAGGAAACAGGCATTTTCCCAGAAACATAAAAAGGTACGTGCAGGTATATTTGGGGAGGTCCAGGACCTTATATTATATCTCTGAGCAGGCAACTGCACAGAACAATGCTCTCCAGAAACAGACCATAAACATTAAATATTCCCAGCTAATTAATAATTACATTAAGACAGATTTATTTCAGAGTGGAATTCAACACTTAAAATTGTTTCTATGGCAGATCTGGATAAAGACTTACAGAAATACGTTCTAAATACAGGCAGAAACCTTCTATTCCTTTGATTATAGTTTGGAAAGAGACAAATGGACTTACAGCAGAAGGCACACCTAAAAGAACCTGTTTGCAACCATTTTTTTACCCACCTCTTCCTTCCCTCCCCAAACAGGAGTAGCTGATGCAGCAAGAAAATAAATGAGTTTACAGGAGGAGCTCGCTGTGTGTTCAGGTTGCATGGTTTATGAGAAGGCATTTCTCCCTGCTCGCTGCATGACACTTCCATCCAGCGTGCAGGAAAAGTGTGCCAACAAAACATCCAAACCCAGGTAATGTGATTGTAAGAATATGCACAAACAGGGTGGCTCAGGAGAATAGGAAACAATAGAAATTGCTTCTAATGTTTAAAATCACCCAGATTACAAATTGCCTGTGATCACTCTCAAGACAGAAAATGCTGTTTTGTCTTCTCCTTATAGCATCTGATTAATCCATGACAATATGCAATTGTTGATCTTTTGTTTAGCCTCATTCTATTACCATTTATTCAGAGTAGATGTATCCATGTCAAAACCCATTCTGCACAGAGCCCAGTACAGGCTAATCTGCTCTGACCTGTGCTGCCTCTCAGCAAGAAGGGTGAAGGACTTGTTTTATAGTGCCATTTTCTTCAGTTGTTCATTATCTGCAAAGTTCAAGGGGCACTGCTGCTTACTGACTCGAAAATAAACCCAAATCTCTATCTAAACCTTGCAATATTC